CATTCTGTATGTTACATTGTGTTATAATAACTGGGACTTTAGGTAGAGTGGAGCAGTGAACTAATATTTCTTCCCTAGGAAGGCTTGAGTTTCTAAAGGCAGGTAAAAGCCATTTCCAAATGCCTTTGGTTAGGTCCCACTCTGATCTTTTCCTTCTATCTTTGTAATAATTTATTCCCTAATTGACAGAGAGAGTGATGAAAGGTCCACATATCCCCTTTCATCACAATTTCTGTCAATTAGGCAATAAATTATTGCAAAGTATATATTGGTTAAAAAAAAGAAGAGGAAGAGGCAGTTTTTCATCATGGTTAAAAGTGGAGGGTCTGGAGTCCCATGGTCCTGGGTGTGAATCCTGGTTCTGGCACTATCTGTATGACTCTGGCTATAAACCTCTCATGCCTCACCTTCTTCATCTGCAAAATGGGTAATTGTGTAGCAAATGTACATGGAGAACACTTAACGCTTTGGCACATTGCAAGCACTCAGTAAATGTTAATTATTATTATTATTGTTGCTATAAAAAAATGACCCCACAAGGTTATGGAGTATGTTTACATCTTCAAACTATCAGCTAAGATATAGCCTTAAACATATACTCTCCTTATGCGTCAGTGTCCCTGAGGCTTGCAGTGCAACAGCGAAGCTTGATTGGTTGGTGAATTTAAACACCTGTGACTTTATGACTTACACCTCAATCTCCAGTTTTGGTTTTGGGGTTTTAGAGAGATAATACATGGGCTGCCTCTTTCTCTCCTCCCTCTCTATATTTCCTTTGGTGTGGGAGGCAGAATAATGGCCCCCTAATGATGCCCAGGTCCTAATACCCAGAGCCTGTGAATAGGCAATGTTAATTGGCAAAAGGTAATTAAGGTCACAAATAGATTTAAGTCTGCTAATCAGCTGGCTTTAAAATAGGGAGAGTATCCTGAATTATTTGAGTGGGCGGAAGGTAATCAGAATGTCTTTAAAAGTGGAAGAGAGAGGCAGAAGATTCAGTCAGTGCTGGCGAAGATGTGATGAAGGCAGAGTTGACGAGATTGCTGATGGTGAAGGTGGAAGCAGCGGACAAACCCAGAAACATGGGCAGCCTCTGAAAGCTGAAAAGTTTGGCAAGAAAACAAATTCCCCCCACTATCCGAACCTCCAACACTTTGATTTTAGTACACTGAGTCCCAAGTCAGACTTCTGAAATAGAGAACAGTAAGATAGTAAATTTGTTTTGTTTCAAGCTGTGAGATTTATGTCGCTTTGTTACAGTGGCAGTAGAACATTATTATAGCGAAAGTGTGTGTGTTTGTGGGGGAAACATCCCATGGGAACTCTGGTAATCTATTTTTGCTGAAGATGAAATCAAGATGAATAGACTATCTTTTCCATGTCATTTATAGAACTTATTTTCCATACACATACTTAGAATAGATCTTTAATGATTAGCATAATAGCAAAGATGGTTATAGTTACTATGTTTCATAAACCCTAAAAAGCAAATTACAGGTGGATTTTTAAATGAGCAAATTAGTATACATGATATACCTCACAAAATTATAGAATTTAAATCACATTAATTAAACATTTTAGAAATAATTTTTATAGAGAAGCATAAAATTACATAAAAGCCAAGCTGCTCCTGAAGATCCAGGGCACATGGGTACCACCGTTAGGGCAAACATGAATATGTGTCTTTTATTTACGACCTGAGCCTATCTCCCTTCTGATCTCACCCTTTGTCCACAGCTCCCCTTTCATCACTAATTATTGTTTACTACGTAGTCTTCATGTCATTACTCCAAAGAGATGGTGCTGTGACTGCACGTGGGACACGATCTCCCTGCAATCTTAGTCCCACTCGACATTCTTTTCCATGTAAGTGAATTCCAAATGACCTCTTGGCTCTTCTTACCCTGCAGCCACAAAAGCACACCTATTGTGATCCTTCCTGTTTCTTATTTTGTCTATTCCTCCCAGTGCCTTTCCTGAATACACAAAAGTCACATCTTTGGTTTCTCTCTGAATCCAACACATTCGATTTCATTTCTGATTACTATCCCACGAATTACAATTTGTAGCCTTTCTTGAAAGGAATCCTGGGGGTGGACTTTGGATATCTCATCAGTCTTGTGTCCTGTTACTCTTGGGATGAGTCAAAACCAGGAAGTCCCCTGCAGCTTTGGCAACCCACCATTGCTGAAGAAGCCACCAATTGTTAGAAATACGAATATCTGGCATCCATCGTTTTGAGCCTGTGCTCGCCATGAACATGAGACCTACACTTTCCTGGTGCTTCTCCATTCAAGACCTCTTAGTTTTATATCTAGTAGAGCAGAGCTACACAGTGCCAATCTTCTAGCAATAAACCTCACACAAACCCAATAACCTAATTATTGTGTTAGAATGAGAAGAGATGAAGATGCTGTTGAGTTAGGTCATCTAGGTCTCCAAAGAGGAACTTCACAAGGTGATACTTTTTGTGAAGTTATGGTGGTCTACATCGGTTCTGAGGCTGGTGGGTTATTAGTGCACCAGAACCAAAGGGATTCTCAGGATTGACTCACAGTAACCTGACTTTTAAGTGCCAGATGAATCAGACAGAATGCAAACTTATTAATTTAACATTGAGAGTTGATCCATTCTGCAGCCACGGAGTTCTCAACTGCAAATCAATGCACCTTCTTTGTTGCACAAATTAGGTTAGAATTAGACAAATCAAATAGTAATAGGAAGGCTTTTTTTTCCCTTTTTTTTTATTACATTTTAGGTTTTGGGGTACATGTGCAGAGCATGCAATACAGTTGCATAGGTACACACAGGGCAGTGTGTTCTGTTTGCTTTCACCCCTTCACCTACATTTGGCGTTTCTCCCCAGGCTATCCCTCCCCACCTCCCCCTCCCACTGGCCCTCCCCTTTTCCCCCCAATAGACCCCAGTGTTTAGTACTCCCCTTTCTGTGTCCATGTGTTCTCATTTTTCATCACCCACCTATGAGTGAGAATATGCGGTGTTTCATTTTCTGTTCTTGTGTCAGTTTGCTGAGAATGATGTTCTCCAGATTCATCCATGTCCCTACAAATGACACGAACTCATGATTTCTGATTGCTGCATAATATTCCATGGTGTATATGTGCCACATTTTCCCAATCCAGTCTATCATCAATGGGCATTTGGGTTGATTTCAGGTCTTTGCTATTGTAAACAGTGCTGCAATGAACATTCGTGTGCATGTGTCCTTATAGTAGAACGATTTATAGTCCTTTGGGTATATACCCAGTAATGGGATTGCTGGGTCAAATGGAATTTCTATTTCTAAGGCCTTGAGGAATCGCCACACTGTCTTCCACAATGGTTGGACTAATTTACACTCCCACCAACAGTGTAAAAGTGTACCTTTTTCTCCACATCCTCTCCAGCATCTGTTGTCTCCAGATTTTTTAATGATCGCCATTCTAACTGGCGTGAGATGGTATCTCAATGTGGTTTTGATTTGCATCTCTCTGATGACCAGTGACGATGAGCGTTTTTTCATATGATTGTTGGCCTCATATATGTCTTCTTTCATAAAGTGTCTGTTCATATCCTTTGCCCACTTTTGAATGGGCTTGTTTGTTTTTTTCTTGTAAATCTGTTTGAGTTCTTTGTAAATTCTGGATATCAGCCCTTTGTCAGATGGGTATACTGCAAAAATTTTTTCCCATTCTGTTGGTTGCCGATTCACTCTAGTGACTGTTTCTTTTGCCGTGCAGAAGCTGTGGAGTTTGATTGGGTCCCATTTGTCTATTTTGGCTTTTGTTGCCAATGATTTTGGTGTTTTGTTCATGAAGTCCTTGCCTACTCCTATGTCCTGGATAGTTTTGCCTAAATTTCCTTCTAGGGTTTTTATCATGCCAGGTCTTATGTTTAAGTCTTTAATCCATCTGGAGTTAATTTTAGTAATAGGAAGGATTTTGTCAAAAATGGAACTAGAAGAGAGATGTGGGGTCTTGAGGAATGAGGTTGAAGAACTGCCTCAAGTCCACACATGCTTATGTGATGGTGTTCATGTGTTCAAGTTGCTCCTTCCTGGATTGGGCTGGACACTGTGGAGTTGTGTCTTTAGGGCCCACTTTCTCTTTTTTAAAAATTTTCTTGGCAGGGTGCGGTGGCTCACGCCTGTAATCCCAGCACTTTGGGAGGCCGAGGCGGGTGGATCACGAGGTCAAGAGATCGAGACCATCCTGGTCAACATGGTGAAACCCTGTCTCTACTAAAAATACAAAAAATTAGCTGGGCGTGGTGGTGTGTGCCTGTAATCCCAGCTACTCAGGAGGCTGAGGCAGGAGAATTGCCTGAACCCAGGAGGCAGAGGTTGCGTGAGCCGAGATCGCGCCATTGCACTCCAGCCTAGGTAATGAGTGAAACTCTGTCTCAAAAAAAAACAAAAAAATTTTTCTTAACCGCTTGGACCATCAGGGATAGGGTCCACCTTCTTTAGACCTCCAAGACAAGCATTATTTCTTTGATTCTTTATAGCTTTGGTTAGGCTACATGTATGACATTGTCAAACTTGAGTAATCATTTAATTGATTGGGCATTTGGAATAAAGAGCATATGAGTTTGTTCAAATTTTGACTTTAACATTTACTAGCCTTGACACTGAGCAGATGAACTTCTGTAAGCCTTGGTTCACTTGTTAGGAATGTGGTGTTAACAATAGTATGATAGGGCCATTGTGAGAATTGAGTGAGATAATTCATGTAAAGCATATAACAAAATGTCTAGACATAATACTTAATCTATTTTTAATTGAATGAAAGAAACCTTGCTTTTCTACTCTTTGGCCCTAGGAGACGCTGTGGCTTCTGTGCATCTGTAATTACTTCGATCATGTGTTGACAGGACTATGTCCATTTTGAAAGTTCTAGAGAAGCCTTCCAGCTGTTTTCTCCATTTTTCTCCATTGAACCCATAGCCCAACTCCAGGAAACATTGGGCCCACAAAGGACAAGGTAACAGATATTGTACCAAGAGAAGGGCCATCGGTCCTGTCTGGGTTGCCCTGTCATTTCCATTGTCCACAATAGTAATCCTCTTACAGGGATGACATCAAACTGTTCTCCTTCCTCCTCCGGGGCCATCTTCTTCCTACTGGCTTGCAAAGAGTGTCAAGGTTGTTATGTGATGGAGAGGCCCTTTATAACTAAGTTCCCCAACATTCTGGAAAACAGAAGAGCTGGACCTGTATGTGTTTTTTGCTTTGGGTCAGGTGTGACTCAGTTTCTTTTAAATAGAAAGGTTCCATCCTTAATCTAGCACTTTCATCAGGTATCAGAATGGCTTTGCATGACCATGCCATTGTCAGTTGGCTCAGGGGAAATAATTCATTAGCTCTCGTGGGATTGTTTTGTCAGTTGAAGCTTCACGAAGCAGTACAATGCAACCCTACGAACAAGGTTCCTGGGTGCCAGGCATGCTCTAGGAGCTTTGCATGCATTAATTAATGTTGCCCTCTCAGCCCTGTAAAGTAGATGCTATTAATAGCCCCATTTTAAAGATGAGGAAATAGAGAGGTTAAGTAACTTGTCTGAGATCTCACGGTATGTGGCAAGGCTGGGAATCAGAGACCCAGGTGGTCTAGACATGCTTCTGCTTTTTAAACAGAGATGGCCAACGTTCTTTTCTAGGTTTTTCTACTTTTTTAGGGGGTGCTTGTTCTGAGTTTTCATCCTAGTCTCCTTTCCCCATTCAACTTACAGAGTCCTCTTACATGGGTAGTAATTGTATTTACCTTCCACTGTGAGACTTCTCCCTGCAACCAGCGTCTATGCTGGGAATGGGGAAGGGGGTGTTTCCTAGAAAGTGGCAGAAGGAAGAGAACACAGGTTTGTTTGTTTGTTTGTTTTCTGGTCAATGGAAACTGACCTGACAGACATTTATCCTCCACAGAAGTGCAGAGAGAAGAACTTTTTACTCTTATATACAGTCGATGGGTAGTTCTTTATGACCAATTGCCCACATTTAGAGATGTTCATCCCAAACTGTGGTGTCTCTCTAGGTCTTCGGGGTCAGTCGGATTAGGCAGTTTCTTTAATGGCCACAGATACCAAATACATATACCAAATGGGTGGATACCACCCTTTCCAGGTAACTCTTGAGGACTAGAGAGCCCAGTGGCCCTCCATAATGAGCTATAATATCAAAGTTTTTGGCTCCTGGATTAGAAGAAAGGCCTTCTTGATTCTTTTTTTGTTTCTGTCTTGTTTTGTTTGTTTTTTTTGGAGAAGAAAAAAGAAGGGAGTCCCAAACCTGCTCACCTCCTACAAAAAGAGTAAGAAAAAAAGTAAGAGAACTTACTGGCTGAGATGTTTTCTCCAGGTACTACTAGTATGTCGGCCTTGACTGCTGTGTTGTTCCAGAGAGAGAGAAGGGAGTGCTGAGGGGTGGGGAGAGAGAGAGGAGAATCGAGAAAATGTATTCAGAAATTTTGCTGCTGTGATGCCTTTTTAAGATGTTTAGAATGTAGGTGGTGGCCTGTGGCTTAAAAGCATCACCTAGGAAAACCCTCCAGATCCTATGCTCCAACCTGAAAGGATAATTACAGCAAACCTTTCAATGTTGCCACACAGGGTTGTTCCCATTTGAACTGGGTGCGTGGGTTGTTCCCATGAAGCTTGTGAATCATGCTTGAACACACTGACCAGATATTTCTAGCCAGCCCCATATCCAGAGGATTCATTTCCTATAAAAGACATTTGATCACAGTGTTGAAACAATGCATTCCAGGTTAGCTTGCCCCGAGACTAACCCATGGCTGTGTCATAGGTGCTGATTGCCTCAGCCTAGAAATTAGTCCTAATCTAACACGAACCTATTCTCTTCTCTTTGGAGACACTTTCTTTTTCTCTTGAATTTTAATCTCTCCCCCTTCTCGCATTTAAAGTGTATGTTTGCTTTTAAAATGTGTTTTTATTATTAATTTCTTTTTCTCTTGATTTTTAATCTCTCCCCCTTCTCGCATTTAAAGTGTATGTTTGCTTTTAAAATGTGTTTTTGTTATTAAAACTTTAATTTTAAATCAAAATGGACAGAAATAGAATAGAAACTTACTCAGCTAAGGGGGTCATTTCTGTCTAGAGTAAGATAATTTTCTTCATTGTTTGAAAAGTGGAAATTATGGGAATTAATAGCAACATAGAGTAATTATCTTCTAAAGAACATTAAGATCTCACTGATACCATCTAATTGCCTTTAAAAGACACTGGCAAGGTGAGATGGAGGGGGTTGAAAGACTTTTTTTGGTGTCAATTCCTATTTACAGAGGAATAGAGAGCTTTCTAGAGAAAGCTAGACATGATAAGTAATGTCAGAGCTTTTTTTTTTTTTGAGACGGAGTTTTGCTCTTGTTACCCAGGCTGGAGTGCAATGGCGCGATCTCGGCTCACCACAACCTCCACCTCCTGGGTTCAGGCAATTCTCCTGCCTCAGCCTCCTGAGTAGCTGGGATTACAGGCATGCGCCACCATGCCCAGTTAATTTTTTTGTATTTTTAGTAGAGATGGGGTTTCACCATGTTGACCAGGATGGTCTTGATCTCTTGACCTCATGATCCACCAGCCTCCCGAAGTGCTGGGATTACAGGCATGAGCCACCGCGCCTGGCCCTGTCAGAGCTTTTAAGAGACACTAAGGACATGAGCTCTGAAGAGTCCATGGTGAGTGCCTAGAGTCTAAGCACAGAGAATCAAGAGGTACTTCTGAGGGTCAGAACTTGGGGTCGCTGTCTTGGGGTCAAGTGTTGTTTGCATTAGGCCTCAGTCCACAGCTGTTCACCACAGAAGTGCCAGATAACGAGGGGAGTGAGGAGCAGAAGAAAGGGTACTGGTCTTCTTGTTGACCACATGCCATGAAGAAGTTACCATTCTCTCTGTGCCCAGATTCTTCATCTCTGACATTAAAAAGACTACTAGCTGCCATCCAATACCTTCCTCATTCAAAAATTCACATATTCTGTGCATTTCTGGATGAGGGGTAAAAATTCCTCGGATGGTTTCTCACTGGAGCTGTGATGAGTGAGCTGGAGAAGGGTACTTTGAAGAGTTGGAAAGCAAGCTTTTGCTACTGCAGATTATTTCTGTTCTTGTATCAGGTTCGATTTGACCTTCCTAAGGAAATAAAAGTACTTACAATTCAATCTCATTATTGTGTGGCGTGGATGAGTCAGTTAAGTTTTCTGCCCAGCAGTTTCCTCATCTGTGAAATGGGGCTATTCATAGTATCTACTTCATGATGGGATTGTGAGGATTAAATGAGTTGATGATATTTATTAAATTATTGACCACGATTGATTAGCTCTGTTTTATAAACGGGCAAATAGACATGAAGAGGGGGACTCTCTAAGTGTGGTTGTCTATCAAGCTATGTCTGAATCTAAGAGCCTAGAATAAGGAATCAAGTCATTCAGATCTTTAAGCCAAGAGTCTCTTGTCAATGATAAAGCAGTGCCATGTGTGTACCTACGCAACTGTCTTGCATGCTCTGCTCATGTACCCCAAAACCTATAATCCAATAAAAAATTAAAAAAAAAAAAAAAAAAAAAGCAGTGTCTTTCAATGCAGTGCACACACTTGAGACTTTTGTTAAAAATTGGGTTCCCAGGTCCCACACCTGGAGATGCAAACACAAGAGACCTGGGTAAGGCCCAATAATCCAAATGATATAGAGAGTGTAGGCTGTGTGCTGAGGGCAGGTGATGGGGGACAGTTGAGGGGTGAAAGCAAAGGGAAAGGGGGAAGCGTGGTTACCTCCATATTTTGAAGAGTTTAAACTAGCTATGATATAAAGTGAGTCAACAAGAAGAAAAGAAAAAAAATCTAGAAAAATATATCTAAAATATCTCCCTTTAAAAAACAATTCTGGGGTACATGTGCAGATCGTGCAGGATTGTTGCTTGGGTATACACATGCCATGGTGGTTTGCTGCATCCATTCCTCATCATCTACATTAAGTATCTCTCCTAATGTTATCCCTCCCCAATACCCCCACCGCCTGCTATCCCTCCCCTAGCCCTTCCACCCTGCAATAGGCCTGGGTGTGTGATGTTCCCCTCCCTGTTTAAGAAATATAATTATGGACCCTCGGAGTGAAAAGCAGAGAAGTAAGATTTGACCTCAGACTCTAGAGACCATGTTGTGTTTCCTGATTCATGTTTGTCTTTCGAGCTGTGCTAAAATTATAGTTTCCCTCCCTGCAAGCCCCTTTTCTGCTCCAGCTGCTGACTTAATGCTGAACTATGTCATAAAACCTTGAACTCCCTTTGGGGCTGTAAAGGATACTTACTTAGCCTCCCAGTTAAAAATCCAGATTTCCTATTGCCTTTAAAAGGTTTGACCACATGCATACAACCAGAAAATGGTTTTACATTCTCTTATACAAAGAAGACACTTAAAAAAAAACGCTGCAAGCCTTCAAGTGGCTAACTTCCCTTTTTACTGTGCAGTTTATAATCACGATTTTTTTTTTTTTGAGATTGAGTTTTGCTCTTGTTCCCCAGGCTGGAATGCAATGGGAGGATCTTAGCTCACCCAACCTCTGCCTCCTGGGTTCAAGCGATTCTCCTGCCTCAGCCTCCCGAGTGACTGGGATTACAGGAATACGCCACCATGCCCAGCCAATTTTGTATTTTTAGTAGAGATGGGGTTTCTCCATGTTGGTCAGGCTGGTCTCAAACTTCCAATCTCAGGTGATCCACTCACCTTGGCCTCCCAGAGTGCTGGGATTACAGGTGTGAGCCACTGTGCCTGGCCATAATCATGTATTTTTTTTTTTTAATCACGAATGGCATGGGGGATATTTTGCTCTGCAAGGGAGGAAGTCATTCTGTTTCTAGGATAAATTGAGAACGGCACTGCTGCGTCAGCTCAAGGTTAGCTTGAGTCCAGTGAGATTCCTAAACCCTGATTTTGTAGCCCAGGACATGTATCAGGGTCCACCTGGGCCCAGCACTGAACTAAAAAGAAAGGAAGAAGGGTGGATGAAAATGACCCGTCTAGTTTTCAATTTAGGGAATAGGAATGCTCTTCTGCAAAGCACCTTATGGTTTATGAGACCCTTTCACCATCACAGTTCCACTTTATCCTTACAACCGTGTGATAGGTAGGGCTTATGTTGCTATATTCCATTTGCTCAAGGTCATATGTGCACGGGCTGGATTGAGACTCCGTCCCAAAGTTTCTGAATCCCAGTCCCATGCTCTTTCCACATTTTCATCCTGCAGCCTGAGATGGTGCTTAGATAACCACTGACCAGAGATACCCTGCCCACTCAGAGGAGAGAGAAATTATTGATTAAAATGAAGTCATTCCGGGAGTTCTGCATTCCACTTGGCTAGTGTAAGTTGCTACTTGTCTGGAGGAAGTAAATCATCGAGCTGCAGGTTACACAATGCGTGTGTCTTTGATGTGGGCATCAGGCATTGACTGATATGTGATACATACCCTGAGAATTGAAAAATGCTTTATTAAGTAGAATTGTGGGCTTGATCACAGGAAATCATGTTTCTTTTTTTTTTTCTCCCAACAGTTAAACACTATTAAAACTCCAAAATCATGACTGGATGGCTAAATTCATGAAGAAAGAATTTAAAATGAGGTAATGACAAAAATAGGTCTAGGGCTGTAGCTAAAAGCAAAACTTACATAAAAATAGCATTGGTGTCGTGCTTTTCAGCATTCAAAGCAGTATCACACAAGCCATTTCATTTGACCTTCACAACAACCCTGTGAAGTAGGCATGATCAGCGTTTAACAAACACAGAAATTCAGTGTGATGAAGTCTAAGTGTTTTCCCCAGCATCACAGCTGGGAAATGCAAGTGTAGGCCTTTTGACCTCACATCTGTGTTTGATTTTGAATTATTTCTCAAAACCTCTGACAATGTCCAATGATTATTATTGGGAATGACTTACATATTCTGTGACTATCCTGTAAGAAACCGTGATGACGGCTGGCATATGAATGATGCCTTCTCACACTGGGACTGCCTTGCGCTTACAAGCAGCAATTATTCACTATTGCTTTTCTGCAAAATGGGTGGATATTAAGTCCATTTACTCTGATGGATAGATTGAAGCAGGAATCTAAGCTATGTTTTTCTTTGTCACTCTTCACAGGGAGGGGAAGAAGCAAGGGTTATTTCTTGAGAGTTCCAGCTAAATGTTCCTTGTCAAACAATCAGAACAAACTCCCATTCCCTAAAGAATAGAAAGAGAAATTGCAAACGTTTAATGAAAAGACCCATGCTATTTCTTCTGAGTGTTCTAGATTCACTTCCCACAACTATATCTCATTCTCAAATAAAATATTTGGAGAGCCTAATGGGTCACAAAGTTTTGGAGAACATGGACATTAAAAAACAATCTATGGAAAGGTAAAGTATGTTAGTATAGATAAATCATAATTAAGACAGTGGAGTTTAATAGGATCCATACTTGTAAATATCTACTCAAGGGAACTAAATAGTAAGATTTTCCCCCCTATTTATACTGTTCCCATGTACATTTCTTTCTGTATCCAAAGAAATTTAGAAGGTATGGTTGTAGCTTTTCACCTTCATGTGCCAGTGGCCAAAAACAACCCCAAACTTGTCTGACTGGCTCTAAGGAGGAATGTAAGTAAACAAGGCCTGAGTAAACAAGAGAGAGACCTGCCCATCAATCACCTGTGCAGTCAAGCAATGTAGGCCATCTTCCTGGGCGCTTACAAATCAGTTCCCATCCCTCAGATAAATGCAAAATGTCCTTCCAGAAAAATGTAATTTATTATCATGTTAGCAGTGGTGAGTTAGGGAAGGAGCAGAATAAAAGGCATTCTACCTGGCAATGGGGACCCGCTGTAGTAGTAAGAAACTAAGTACCTTAAGGGACTGGGGAGTTTCCTTAAACCTCTCTGGCAGGAGCATGTATTGGCCTCTCTTTCATTAAAGTGGGTCATTTTCATCACCTTGGGCTGTTAGACTTTGGCAGGTCTGATGATGAAGCAAGGCTGCACATGCTCATAAGAAGAAATGACCTTCCCATCCTTAATCTCCTTGGTAATGGTGCAGATTTTAACCAGTATCCTGGACAGGGGTCCACAGGCACTGCAGGGCCCCTGTAAGCCACAGGAGGCTGAGGATGTGCAAGCTGGGGCCGTGCATTCCATGGCTCTGGACTTACAAGATGTCCAAGGGGAAGGCTCACACTTAGTGGCACATGGATAACAAGGAAGCCTAAGGAAAAAAACAGACTTTTAGCTGTGATAGAAGGAAGGCAATGATGGTTATGGAGAAAAATGGTTGTGGCTAATTTTTTTTTAAACACTTGTTGCTCAAGAGAAGTACGTACTTCCGAATGTTTATTCATTCATGTCATTCTGTAGTTAGTGGAAGGAAAAGAATCAGATCAAATCGATTGGAAATCAGCATCCTAGGTTCAGAAGTATTCGATTACGTAAGTTTCCATTGGTCAATACCATTGCACTGTGGAAAGAATACCGCACTCGCAGTGAAAGGCTGGGGCAGAGACTAGCTCTGTCCTTTACCAGCTGGTGACCCAGCTAAGTCATTTAACTCTCAAGCTTTAGCTTTTCATCTGCAGAATGGAGATAATGGAAACTAAACCCACGGGATCAATAGTGATAAGGAACAAGTTGAGGGAATATTATCTGAGGAATGGAAATTGATCAGATATTTTTCTCACTGGGGACTTAGTCATACTAATAGTGGTGGCCTAAACCCCAGCTACAAAAGAGTCCTCACTGTGTCATCGGGAAGCTTCAAAGTGGCTTCCAGCTGTCTATATGTAGTTTTTAGAGAATTGGAGTAAAAAGCAGTTCATAGTAAACGCTCTTTTTATAAACATAATCTTTCTTTGATGATTTGAGGCACTTTGGTATATGATCACAGCTCCCTAAGGTGACAGCATTGATTACCGTTGTGCTCATGTAATGTGGTTGTGCCAATTAGAAGAATGCTATGAAGAGTTTGCTGATTACTTTGGGGAAGCAGGTCTTCTTTGCAATTGCAACTAAGTCTCTGGGGTGTTAGTTTGGGCTGAGTTACTTCAAGGAACGCATCCTCCGGGTATATTTCTTATGGTTTACAAAAATTACAACTTTAATTTTTTCACTTTTCCTTTTTGATATGGAGTCTCGCTCTGTCACCAGGCTGGAGTGGAGGGGTGCGAACTTGGCTCACTGCAACCTCTGCCTCCCCGGTTCAAGCGATTCTCCTGCCTCAGCCTCCCGAGGAGCTAGAACTACAGGCGTGTGCCACCACGCCCAGTTAATTTTTTGTAGTTTTAATAGAGACAGGTTTTCACCATGTTGGCCAGGATGATCTTGATCTCTTGACCTCATGATCTGCCCTTCGTAGCCTCCCGAAGTGTTGGGATTACAGGGGTGAACAACTTTTATTTTTTTAAAAAGATGTTAAAACACACATGTGTACCCACTGCTGTTGGCATCAAGAACTAGTGACTAGATAGGGTTAGGGGTTTCAGCCTGAGAAGAATGGGCCTCCAAAGGTGCCTGGGTTGTTTTGTACGAGCTCATGAAAAGCAGATGTTCATCTCAGTGGGGAAACATCTATAATGGTCACTAGGACTATTCATCTATGGGAAAACCATTTTCTCTCTAGTCATTTTTAAAACTCTAAGAAGCTAAGCAACCTGGAAGAAATTAACCTGGCACATGGGCTCTTTAAAACAGCTCAGCTTAGCCAACGCCTCAAATTTGGAAGAGGTTACAACTGTAAGTCTTTCCCATGGCACAGCTTGAGATGGTGTGTGGTTGCCTCTGTCCAAGCTCCCCATCACTGGCCAGAAGGTCAAACAAAGCATGTGTCCCCCATTGCCAGTGGCAGTACGTGTATGCATTCATTTGCACTTCTTTGTCATAGAAGTTGTTATTTTACATACTTGCCATCCAAGCTCTCCAGAAGGCTGCGGTATGTAGTAATCTCACACTCCAGCCGGGACTTGACGTCCAGCAGGATCTCGTATTCTTGGTTCTGTCTTTCCAGGGCACACCGGATCTCTGCCAGCTGAGCCTCCAGGTTATCAATCAGACTCTGGATCTGGGTCAGCAGGGCTGTGTAGCGAGCCTCTGTCTCCGTCAGGATGCACTCCTGGGAATCTCTCTACCATGGAGGAGGAAAGTAGGATTTATAATGATGACTCCTTTAAGCCCAGGTCACCTGTGACCTGTATCATTAAAAAAAAAATGGTTTCTTTCTGACACTACTAATAGATTTCCAAGCCCTTTATTTATTGCTTCCTAATCAAATAAATAAAAAACCCAAATGATCAACTATGCTAAAATCTGCTTTCCTTGATCTCTTCCCTCTGTCTCTCTCTCTCTTTTTTGCCTCTCTTTAAGTGTTTGTTTTGTTTCCTTTTTCTTGACCACCTGATAATCTCCCACCACACTTTCCTACTTAGGAGAGAAAAAAAAATTTTGCACACACAGGCATTAAAAATGCATTACCATGGCACTTCATTCAGTGAGTGTTTCTGTCTTAAAAAGAAAGCAAGTAGTGTTTAACCATATACAATGTCTTCACCAGATCAATTCCTTTATATGTAGACTATGAAAGTTGAAACTGATGAGTAAATTTGATTCCTGCTCTATCATTCTCTAAGTCTAGGGATAATGATGGGATTTTAGGTTTTAGTAGCCTATTATTTGCATGATTATCCCAATTTTTATAGATGAGAAAACTGAGGTTCAAGAGGTTCAATATGTTGTCCAAGCCCACATGACTAGCTGGTGAAAAAACCAGTGTGGGGCAAGGTCTTCCTAAAACCCTTCACATCGGAGCATTTAAGCAGCTCTCTGCTTCAGAGAGGCATTATCGTGAGACAGAATGGCACTGGCTTTGGAATCTCAACTCTGGCTCAGACTCTTGTGACACTGGACAAGTTTCTTAATGGCTCAGGATCTCAGTGTCTCTATTTACAAAATAGGTGGACTGAAACTTACTTGGGATTGCTGGGGAAAATCACCTTAGCTCTTGGAGCCTCGTCTGTAACATTAATTAATAATTATGCCACCCCCCATAGGATTACTTTATAAATCTCATGTGATAACTTGTAAAAATGCTTTGCATATAATAAAATGTTCTCCCAGTGTTTCCCAAAGTGTATTTCACGAGTCATTAATACCATGAGATGCTCTAAACCAAGGGGGGATCCACAGTCAAATAAGTTTTGGAATGCTGAATAACCCATTTCCCCTTCTTGGAGATTCATGGTGTACATTTGCTTATTAAAGGCTTACAGAAAGGCACCCTGTTTAACCTTAGTTTAGTCCAGTATTTCCCAGACTTATTTGGCCACAAAGTCCCTTTTTAGCCATAGACCCTTTGACAAAACAAGGAATGATTGTTCTAAGAGACACAGTTTGGGAAATACTGCAACACACAGGTGTCAGGGACTGCTGCCACTTTTGCTGTGATAGGCTTGGTCAGCTTGCTTGGTACCATTCGATGCTGGGCCTGCAGGTCAACCTCCAGAGTGTTCACAGTGCGTCTCAGTTCTATGATCTCCTTTTGGCAGCATTGCTGCTGTTGAGAGCTGGTCACCACTTGCTGATTCAGCTCCTCCATCTGAAACACACAGTCAGAAACTGAGGCTATTATGGGAGGAAAACATGACTTTGAGTAAAGGGTCCTAGAAATGCAGCATCAGCTTATTGTTTTTGACTTTTCTATTTCCCCCACCTGCGCGCTGAACCATTGTTCTGCATCTTTGCGGTTTGTCTCCATGATGGACTCATAGCGACATCTCATTTCTTGTAGGACCTGGTTTAGGTCAACAGAAGGAGCAGCAGTCACTTCAATGTGAAGTCTCTCCCCAAGCTGACACTGTAAAGAATTGATTTCCTATGGGAAGAAAAAGAATGTGAAGTCACTTGGTGAACAGAGGACTCCCTTGTGTTCTTGTTTCAGTCTAACTGCTGTGATTTAGCATAATTGTGTCTAAAATATAGCCCACAACAAAGGAATACATGCTTTACAGGTGTTATTAAGAGGCTATAAAATGATTTAAGGCTATTTCAAGTAGGACTGTGTGTTTAAATATGTGCAAAATTTTAAAAAAATGAGTAGCAAGACCAGAGTTCCAAAAAATTTAGATCATTTTCAGGGCTGGATAATGGGTAAAACAGCATAAAGGTGGAATTGATCATAAGAGCTCATAGTCTCTATGGTGCAAATATGGGATTGTGCCAATATTGACTTGTACTAATGAGAGGTGGCAGAAGTCTGTACAGAGATGCCTACACACATGGGAAGACTGTAAGGACAGAAAAATTGGGTTCCTTATTGTGGAAGAGCTGGAGGGGATGATGGAAGACTTGCTTCCCCTTATGGCTCCAGATATTGTGTTGGAGCCAGTGGATTTGAAATAATGCATTGAACCAGTGGTAGTAGCAGTAGGTATTTTCAGGGCTAAACCAGAATGGTAGGTAACAGTGATATGGTTTGGCTCCATGTCCCCACCCAAATCTCATCTCAAATGGTAATTCCCATAATTCCCACATGTCAAGGGAGGGACCCAGTGGGAGGTGGTTAGATCATGGGGTGGTGTCCCCCATGCTGTTCTCAGGATAATGAGTGAGTTCTCACAAGATCTGATGATTTCATAAGGGTCTCTTTCCCCTTTGGTCTCTCTCCTGCTGCCAAGTGAAATATACCTGCTTCCCCTTAAGCCATGATTGTAAGTTTCCTAAGGCCTCCCCAGCCATGTGGAACTGTGACTCAATTATACCTCTTTCTTTTATAAATTGCCTACTCCTAGGTATTTGTTTATAGCAGTGTGAGAATGAACTAATATAAACAGGGACACCCTTTGTCAGGTGCAACTCAAAGGAACTGATGCTACTCTTAGGGGCTTAGCTTGTGATTACTCTCTTGGTTCTTTTCTCACCTCTTCGTGGTTGTTCTTGAGGCAAAGGAGCTCCTCCTTCCGAGACTGGACTTGTACCTCCAGGTCTGCCTTGCCCAGGGTCAGCACATTCAGGATCTGCTTGAGGCCATTGGCATCTGCCTCCGCCAGCTGGCGTAGAGACGCCTCAGCTTCATACCTTTAAAAACCAGACAGGAAAAGAGAGATATCTGAAAGAAGATGATGCAAACCAAGCCAAGCAGAACTCCTGTCTATATTTTACTCTGGGCATCTCACTTGGTGTATTTCTATTGAAGGTTTTATTCTCTTTAGAAGTGAAACCATTTGATAAAGATCATAACTTAATTATTATTCCCAAAATAGTTTGCTAGGGGGATCTGCATTGCTGCCCTTTGAGATGTGGGAATTTATTGTTCTTCCCCTGCCCCTAGTGGCAATGCAATGTAAGTGAAGAAAGCAGTGGATTAGAGCTCGGAAAACTTGGGTCCAAATTTTGGCTCTGACTCGTACCAGTTGTGCTTACCTTTGGGTAATCAACTTAGCCTCACTAAGCCACAGCTTTCTCACCTTAAAGGGGACAACAGCCTATTCATTTTACTAAACTATTGTGTAGGTAATCAGATGGGTTCACAAGTTAGAAACTATAGGTAATGTACACATGTGAGTAGTTATTAATCTTAATCAATCATTGAATTTGAAAGTCTTTTCTGGGCTTGTGCCAACATGGGCCGGGGCAAGAGGGTTAGTAAATGGAGGGATAATTTTGTTGAGGGCATGTTAGTCAGACTCAGGGTGAGCTCTGTCATGGATGACAGAGTTGGGTGGGCTTACTTGGCTCTCAAGTCATCTGCAGCCAGTTTGGTGTTGTCAATTTGCGAGACCAGTCTGGAATTCTCAGCCTTGGTACACAAGATCTAGAATTAAGAAATCGTACACACAAATGAAACACATACCAGGATCTCCTTCTTTGAGAACCAAGGTGCATGTGTGTGTGTGTGTGAAGTAACAGGGGAAGATGAAGTAGACTTTTGATTAATCTTCATAGTTAGGCTCAGGAAACTTGGAAAGCTTTGGAAAGTCAAATTTTCTGTTATTTTCCTAAAAGACCAGTAAAGAGTACTTAACTAGAAACTTTTAAGTATTTTTGTTGTTGTTGTTACAATATAAAATCCAGACCAGGTGCAGCGGCTCATGCCTGTAATCCCAACACTTTGGGAGGGGGGTGGATCACGAGATCAAAACCATCCTGACCAACATGGTGAAACCCCGTCTCTACTAAAAATACAAAAATTAGCTGGGCGTGGTAGCACATGCTTGTGGTCCCAGCTACTCAGGAGGCTGAGGCAAGAGAATCGCTTGAACCCGGGAGGCAGAGGTTGCAGTGAGCCGAGATCGCGCCATTGCACTCCAGTCTGACAGCAGAGTGAGACTTCATCTCAAAAAAATAAAAATAAATCAAAATAAAGTAAAATCCATCCTAAATTTATATAAATACCATGATCTACTAGAATGTCAACTTCATGAAGGCAGGGACTTTTTAAAGTTCACCAATATTTTCCCAGAATCTAGAACAATGTTTGGTCCATTGCTGTTGCTGCTCAGTAAATATTTGTCGAATGAATGAAACTGAATAAATCCAGATGTGTAGTAGCAGAATATCTCTGTGCATGACAAACTTAGTTTTGGTGTAGACACAAACCAAGCAACGTGGAGATGATAATGCAAGCATAAAAGGAGAAAAAGGTGGCGATGGTTGCAGAATGGATAAAAACTAAACTGTTTAGGAACTCATTAAAACAAAATTTATTTTCTCTGATCTCCATTTTCTTATTTTTATTTTAAAAACGGTAACGATTTGCTGTTAACATTTTTTTGGTCCTGAGTTATCTAGTTATAATGGTAGAGTATATTTCTGGAGAAAAGAAACACTAACAGATTCTTCTTTTTATTTTTATTTATTTATTTATTTTAATTTTTTTAAGACAGAGTCTTGCTTTTGCCCAGACTGTAGTGCAGTGGCAGGATCTCAGCTCATGGCAGCCTCGAGTTCCTATGCTCAAGTGATCCTCCACCTCAGCCTCCCAAGTAGCTAGGGCCACAGGCATGCGCCACCATGCCAATCTAATTTTTGTATTTTTTTTGTAGAGATGGAGTTTCATCTTGTCGCCCAGGCTGGTCTAGAACTCCTGGACTCAAGCGATCTGTCTGCCTCAGCCTCCCAAATTGTTAGGATTACAGGTGTGCGCCCACTACGCCTGGCTGGAAATACTATCAGACTCTGAATGTTGCCTCAAGATGACAGTTTCATTCAAGAGATTTTTTTTTATTCTTCAAAAAAATTTTTAGCATCAAATAAACAAAAATATTAATGTTTAGCAAATAGCTGTTGCTTGGAAACCATCAATTCACAACATGATTAAACAGTTCCTAGGAATCTTACCTTCTGCTGGAGCTCCTCGATGGTAGTGTAGTAAGACAGGTAATCAGGACATAGAACAGGGAGCTCTTTGTTACTCTCTTCCTGGATTTTAGACTCCAGCTCAGCATTCTCTCGTTCTAGCATCCGCACCTTTTCCATGTAGTTAGCAAGGCGGTTGTTCAAGATTTGCATGGTCTCCTTCTCATTACTGTTGATGCCTTCACTATACCAGCTGCAGTAATCCAGAGAGGAGCGAGCATTGAAGTTGTTTACTAGGTAGATGGGCATGCAACAAGAGCAACGGGTGGGTTGGCAGCCCTGGTCCTGGAAAATTCTCTGAACGTGGCCAGCTGGATGACGGTTGTTGACTTTAAGACCGCCACATTGGCAGCTGTTGTTAGCAGAGATGTTACTAACATTTGTAATCCTAGAGCAGCTTTGACATGGGGTTGAAGGAGAATTTGTTGTTGTATGGCCTTTGGTATCCATAGTATGTGTCTGGCTTTAGTTTGTTTCCAAGTCTGTGGTCACCAGGATGAAAAGCTCAAGCCACTTGCGCAGAGTCTAAATTCCAAGGCTCTTGGTGTTTTCCTCTTTGAAGTGCTTATATAGCCTCTCCTCTATGCGGTGTCACACAGGTGGGATGTTTTCCTTTCTCAGGTTTATATCGAATCCCATAGGAACATCTTATTAGTCTGCTTTTTACTTGCTTAAGAAGAGTTACTTGTCCAATAAAAATGTGCATTTAGGCTGTTACTAAGTTATTACCCATCACAACTACTACTTGTCTATAGGACCCAGAGCTTCAAATTATGTCTTCAAAAGGAACTGTCCAAACAGCATCCATTATTAAGCAGGTGTGATTATATTAAGCTCATTATGTTCCTGTTGACCTCTTCACTTGGCACTGAGCTTAACCAGGGAAGAGTACATCCTTCTTTTCCTTTCTTCTCTAGAAAAGGGAAACTATTAATGTCAAATAATTATTGGTAGACTGAGAAATCAGAAATCAGTATTTTAGTTTGTTGTGCCCAGATGCTTTCCCCATTTTCAGTGTCAGGGCACTGTAAGTATGAATTAAAATGTTAGTCTTTTAAAAGGCTTGTCTTAAAGATAATTGCTTGATTTATGTTTCAGCTTTCCATAAAATGTGATGAAATAAAATAAAATATAAAATAAAACAAAAGCCACGGGGAAAAGGTAGGATTTGATTGCTGATAAGAAATTTCTTGGAAAAGAGACTGGCTGTCTTTCAGTTTTCCAAAGCCCACATTTGTGTTTGCTCGTGGTGTTACCTTAGCTAAAAATTTGTCAGTGTTGATTTATACTGGATGTTTAAATAGGATCCATCGAAAGAAAGGGTGTGTTTTCTTTCTGAGTAAATATTCCTCAGAAAGAATTCTTTTATTCTTTATTCTTTCTGAGGAATACTTAGCATTTTCTTAAGAAAGTTACTTGTTCCTAATCCTTTATAGAGGCTCTAGGGGAACATCATTTTCTTGCCTTTTCCAGCTTCTAGAGGCTGTCCATATCCTCAGCTAGTTGCCTCTTTTCATCCTTTTTTTTTTTTAAAAAGAATATGAGATTTGTTTATACTTTAAGTTCTGGGATATATGTGCAGAACACGCAGGTTTGTTACATAGGTATACACATGCCATGGTGGTTTGCAGCACCCATCAACCCGTCATCTACATTTGGTATTTCTCCTAAGGCTATCCCTTCCTAGCCCCTCCACCCCACAATAGGTCCAGGTGTGTGATGCTCTCCCTGTGTCCATGTGTTCTCATTATTCAACTCCCACTTATGAATGAAAACATGCGGTGTTAGGTTTTCTGTTTCTGTGTTAGTTTGCCAAGAATAATGGTTTCCAGCTTTATGTCCCTGCAAACAAAAGACATTACCCCATCCTTTTTATGGCTGCATAGTATTCCATGGTGTATATGTGCCACATTTTCTTTATCTAGTGTACCACTGATGGACATTTGGGTTGGTTCCACGTCTTTGCTATTGTGAATAGTGCTGCAATAAACATACATGTGCATTTGCCTTTATAGTAGAATGATTTATAATTCTTTGGGAATATACTCAGTAATGGGATTGCTGAGTCAACTGGTAGTTCTAGATCCTTGAGGAATTGCCACACTGTATTCCACAATAGTTGAATTAATTTACACTCCCACCAACAGTGTAAAAGCATTTCTGTTTCTCCACATCCTCCCCAGCATCTGTTGTTTCCTGACTTTTTAATGATCACCATTCTAACTGGCCTGAGATGATATCTCATTGTGCTTTTGATTGGCATTTCTCTAATGACCAGTGATGATGAGCTTTTTTTCACATGTTTTTTGGCCGCATAAATGTCTTCTTTTAGAAGTGTCTGTTCATATACTTTGTAGATTTGTTTTTTTCTTGTAAATTTGTTTAAGTTCCTTGTAAATTCTGGGTATTAGCCCTTTGTCAGATGGATAGATTGCAAAAGTTTTCTCCTATTCTGTAAGTTGCCTGTTCACCCTGATGATAGTTTCTTTTGCTGTGCAGAAGCTCTTTAGTTTAATCAGATCCATTTGTCAATTCTGGCTTTTGTTGCTATTGCTTTTGGTGTTTTAGTCATGAAGTCTTTGCCTATGCCTATGGTAATGGTATTACCTAGGTTTTACCTAATACCTGAATGGTACTACCTAGGTTTTCTTTTAGAGTTTTAATGGTTTTAGGTCTTGTGTTTAAGTCTTTAATCCATCTTGAGTTAATTTTAGTATAAGGTGTAAGGAAGGGGTCCAGTTTCAGTTTTCTGCATATGGCTAGCTAGTTTTCCCAATACCAGTTATTAAATAGGAAATCCTTTCCCCATTGCTTGTTTTTGTCAGATTTGTCAAAGATCAGATCGTTGTAGATGTGTGGCATTATTTTGAGGCCTCTTTTCTGTTCCATTGGCCTATACATCTGTTTTGGTACCAATACCATGCTGTTGCGGTTACTATAGCCTTGTAGTATAGTTTGAAGTCAGGTAGCATGATGTCTCCAGCTTCGTTCTTTTTGCCTAGGATTGTCTTGGTTATAAGGGCTCTTTTTTGGTTCCATATGAAATTTAAAGTAGTTTTTTTCTAATTTTGTGAAGAAAGTCAATGGTAGCTTGATGGGGATAGCATTGAATCTATAAATTACTTTGGACACTATGGTCATTTTCACAATATTGATTCTTCCTATCCATGAGCATGGAATGTTTTTCCATTTGTTTCTGTCCTTTCTTATTTCCTTGAGCATCTTTAAACCCAGGAAGAGCCACTTGAACCTATCTCATGGTATGTGAGAAAAAAGTCTCTGGTACAGACTTCTGCCTCCCTCTTCCAAATTTAAGGATCCTTGTGATCACACTGGGTCCACCCAGATAATCCAAGATAATCTTACTACTTTAAGCTCAGCTGATTTGCTTTTCTTCCCATTTGCCTTGTAGCCTAACATATTCAAAGGTTCTGGGATTAGGACATGAACCTCTTTGGGGCTCATTATTCTGTGTATCATAGAATGGAAGGGGAAAAACCCATAATTTACAGTAGCCCCAACAAATATAAAATATGTAGGAATAAAGTTAGAAAGGTACAAAATCTACATGAGTAAAATGTTAAAACATACTGAAAAACAGAAAACTAGAATAAACAGAAAGATATTTCATGTTCTTGGAGAGAAAAATCATATTCATTATTAAAAATGTTAATTGTCTCTATTTTAATTTAACTTATGATTTGATAAATTAGGTATGACAATTCTGAAGTTTTATGAGTACAATTAAACAAATAGGAATATCCAAGAATATCCTGAAAAATAGTGTTTCCGGATACTAAAATATGTTTTAAAACTTCAGTAATTAAAATAGCATGGCATTGATGCATAGTCAGACAGACCAACAGAATATAGAGAATCTAGAAATAGATTCCCAAACAGATTGAAATTTAGTACACGATATGTATGACATTTAAAATCAATGAGAAACTGGGCATTGTGGCCTGTACCTATAGTTCCAACTGCTCTGGAGGCTGAGGCTGAAGGATTACTTGAACCCAGGAGTTCAAGTTCAGCCTGGGCAATACAGCAAGACTTCATTTTTAATAAAATAAAATAAAATAAAATAAAATAAATAAAAAATAAAAGCCATAGGGGAAAAGGTAAACCATTATATGTACTTTGGCGACAATTCTGTATTCCTTTTGGTGGGGGGCACGGAATGTTGAAACCATACTCATTCTTTATAGTGGGACAAACTACAAGTAGATCAAAGATCCAAATATGAAAAATAAATAATACATATGCTAAAAGAGGATAATTATTTTATAAATTTGGAGTCCAAAGACTTTTCCAATGATGACTCAAAATTAAGAAACCATTAAAAACTTATACTTTCGACTCCATAAAATAACAGTGTTTGAACTTGTGCTTGGACGAAAAATACGACCTGTAAAACCAGAAGACAAGACGATAAACTGGGAAACAATATTACAATCACACTGTAGACAGTGACCAAAAGGAAAATACAAAAGGCACTTAAAATAAGAAAAAGTACTCAATGTCACTCATGAAAAGAGAAATGTAAATTTAAATTATACTGAGAGACTTCAGTTTTCTACCTATCAAACTGAAAAAAATCAAAGTTTGGTAACAGATACATTGCGCTGCCTATAGCACTCTCATTGCTTGTGGCAATGAAATGCAACTTCATACAAGTTACCTTAATACATAATGAAAACAGTGTGATATTGGTGTAAGGGTTGGAAAGTAGATCAATGAGAAAGAATATAGAGTTTAGAAACAGACTCACGTGTATGTGGTCAACTGATTTTTGACAAAGATCCCAGAGCAAGTCAATGAGAAAAGGAAAGCTTTTTCAGTACTGTCTTTCAGTACTGTTCAATACTTGTTGCTGAATCAAGTGGCTACTTGTATCGCAAAAATGAATCAATCCTGATTTCTACCTCACGCTATGTGTAAAAATTCATTCAGATTGGATTAAATGCTTAAATGTGAAGATAGCAAGTGTAAACGTTTTAGAAGAAAACGTAGAAGATTATATTTATAACCTTGTGACATGCAAAGACTCCTTGGCTCATGGGAGATATTGTAATAAATACAGTAGACTTCATCAAAATAAAAACCTTTTGCTGATCAAATAAATAGATAAGAAAATGAAAAGGCAAGCCACAGCCTGGGTGAAAATATTCTTTCTGTCTCTCTTCATATACCACCCCCCCACACGTTAGTACACATACATAGACACAGTTGTATGTTTTGTAACAATGGGAATATATTCTGAGAACTTCACCTTCAGTGATTTGTTGTTGTGCGAACATCACGGTGGGCTTCATGAACCTGGATGGTATGGTCTGTAACACATTTAGGCTACATGGTATAGTCTGTTGCTCGTAGGCTATGAACCTGCACAGCATGTTACTGTACTGAGTACAGTAGGCAATTGTAACATAATGGTAAGTATTTGTGTATCTATAAACACATTTAAACATAGAAAAGGTACAATAAAAACATGGCATTATACTTTTCTGGGACAACTTTTGTA